TTATAATTATTAGTAATAACGAAAATGCTGCTGCCCATTTCCTAATTTGTTTCCCTCTATCGCCTCTTACGACACCCACGGTACGATATGGGGTGGTGGAAATTCTTACACCGCAACTACATGGTTAAGTATAATAAGTAAATCCATGATTAAAAGCATCAGGTTTAATTTTACATCATCATCATTACAGCCCTTCACAAGTCCACTGCTGAACATAGGCCTCCCCCAAAGAATGCCACAAAGCACGGTCCTGAGCCACCTGCATCTATCGACTTCCTGCATATCTTACCAGGTCGTCACTCCATCTAGTGGGGGGACGCCCTACACTTCGCCTGCCGGTACGAGGCTGCCACTCGAGAACCTTTCTTCCCCATCGGTTGTCGGTTCTTCGAGCTATATGGCCGGCCCATTGCCACTTCAGCTTACTAATCCGTTGGGCTATGTCGGTCACTCTAGTTCTACTGCGGATATCCTCATTTCTGAGTTTATCACGCAGGGAAACTCCGAGCATAGCCCTCTCCATAGCTCGCTGAGCGACCTTGAGCTTCCTCATCCGGCCAGCAGTGAAGGACCACGTCTCAGTTCCGTATGTCATCACTGGCAACACGCACTGGGTGTACAGTCTCGTTTTCAAGTTTTGAGGTATACCTGACGAGAAGATGTGTCGTAGCTTCCCGAACGCTGCCCAGCCGAGTTGAATCCGTCGATTGACCTCTCGGTCGAAGTTGGACTTACCTAGTCGGACTATTTGTCCCAGGTAAACATACTCGTCAACAACTTCGAGCTTAGTGTTCCCAACAACTACCGGCATAGGTGTGACATGGACATTAAACATGATCTTTGTTTTGTCCATGTTCATCTTAAGACCTATCCGTTGGGAAACACTATTGAGGTCATTGAGCATAGTGCTTAGGTCCTCCAGCGATTCTGCCATAAGGACTATATCGTCGGCAAATCGAAGGTGAGTGATGTACTCGCCATTGATGTTTATACCGTATCCTTTCCAGTCCAGAAGCTTGAAAACATCTTCCAATGCAGCGGTAAAGAGTTTCGGGGATATGACGTCACCCTGTCTTACACCTCTCTGCAATTGGATAGGTTTCGTACTCTGGTTCTGTACTCGGATAGCCATCGTAGCCCTACTTGTACAAGCACTTCAACACTTCGATATACCGACAGTCAACTTGGAATCGCTGAAGGGACTGCAGCACCGCCCAAATTTCGACGGAATCAAAGGCTTTCTCATAGTCCACATACGCCAGACATAGTGGTATTTTCTGTACAATTTGCCGAAGGGTATGTATGTGGTCTATGGTGCTAAAGCCTTTTCGGAAACCGGCTTGTTCGGGAGGCTGGAAGTCGTCAAGTCTGCGCGCGAGACGATTCGTAATGACTCTCGAAAACAGCACGTAGACGCGGCTCAGAAGGGATATCGGTCTGTAGTTCTTCAAGAGAGCGTTGTCGGCTTTCTTGAAGAACAAGACCACCGCACTTCTGCTCCACGCCTCCGGTGTAATGCCACCATGGAGGACGGAATTAAAGAGCTTCTGAAAGACTTCAAGTACCGGTTTTCCACCCGCTTTCAGAAGCTCCGCTGTAATTCCATCCTCGCCTGGGGCCTTGCCGTTTTTAAGGTGCTGGAGAGCCATTCTAATCTCGCTCAGACTGACGTCCGGGATATCAACGGAATAATGTCGGATAAGACTCGCTCTTGGATCGTTACTCACACTTGCGTGCGGCTCCAACGATGACGTGTACAGCTGCCCATAGAACCTCTCAATCTCACTCAAAATCTCAGGTGCCCCGGAAACGATGCTGCCACATTCGGTCTTCAGCTTTGACAGTTGGCTCTTTCTGGCACACAGATCTCTGGCAAAGACTTTGGAGCCTTGGTTCCGCTCGATCGCTTCTTCAATACAAGCTGTATTGAAGTTGCGTAAGTCCTGCCGCATGCATTTGGAGATCTGTCTGTTCAGTTGCCTGTATGCTGTTAAATCTGTTGAAGAATGTAAAGGGTGATTCAAGTAGAGATACTTTTTTCAATAGCCTTTTTTTTACAGATCATGTGTGAGTCGTGTCATGTTGTCATGTTATTTTTGTTTAGTATTGTTTGGCATTTCATAATGGAAAGACTTACGCCTGAACAACGTTTACAAATCGTTCAACTTTATTACGAAAATTCACGTTCTGTGAGGAATGTGTTTCGTGCACTTCGCTCAACATATGGTCAACATAATCGGCCTACTGAGCGTACTATTCGCAACACCATCACCCATTTTGAGACCCAGCATTCATTATTGGATAATATTCCACCGAATAGACTACGTCCAGCACGCTGTGAAGAAAATATAGCGGCCGTAGCTGAGAGTGTACACGAAGACCGTGGAGAGTCGATTCGGCGCCGTTCGCAGCAACTCGGACTGTCGTATGGAACGACTTGGCGCATTTACGTCGAGATCTTAAATTGAAAGCATACAAAATACAGCTTGTGCAACAACTGAAGCCGCTCGACCTTCCCAAGCGATATCGCTTCGCTCTATGGGCTCTTGAAAAGTTCCAAGAAGATCCGACGTTTTCGAGGCAAATTTTGTTTAGCGATGAGGCCCATTTCTGGCTCAATGGGTATGTAAACAAACAAAATTGCCGCATTTGGGACGAAGAACAACCTAAAGAGATTCAAGAACTGTCACTTCATTCAGAAAAAACAACGGTTTGGTGTGGTTTGTGGGCCGGAGGAATCATCGGTCCATATTTCTTTAAAAATGATGCCGGTGCGAAAGTAACCGTCAATGGCGACCGTTATCGTGCCATGATAACAGACTATTTGATGCCTTAAATTGAAGCTCGTGATCTCGGCGCCATTTGGTTTCAGCAAGACGGTGCCACTTCTCACACATCGCATCAATCAATGGATTTATTGAGAGAACATTTCGGTGAGCACATAATTTCACGTTTTGGGCCGGTCGATTGGCCACCAAGATCGTGTGATATCACACCGTTAGACTTTTTTCTGTGGGGATATGTAAAGTCTAAAGTTTATGCGGACAAACCCGCTTCGATTCAGGCCTTGGAGGAAAACATCACGCGTGTCATTCGCTAGTTACCAGTCGAAATGCTCGAACGAGTCATCGAAAATTGGACTCAACTGATGGACCATCTGCGACGTAGCAACGGCCAACATTTGATAGACATAATCTTCAAAAAATAAATGCCAAAGAATGTTCTTTCAAATGATTATAAACATTCTCCATTAAATTTGAATTTTCTGTGTTTTTTTCTTTAAAAAAGTAGGGAACGTCGAAATGGATCACGCCTTAGCTTCATCTCCCGTCTAACAGCCATGAGATTAAGAGTGTGATCGGAGAGTTTTTGTGTTCTTCTGCGGCGGGTCTTGCAGAACTTAGCTCCGACCGCATGGACAGTTTCCACGAGCTTGTCATTCAAATCGTCCACTTCATTGCAGTCTTCTAGGCACTGAAAACGGTTTTGTAACTCGAGCTGAAAGGTTTCGGGACTTTGGATTAGAGCACGAGGGGGACGGAGCGTTGACTTCATTAGACGAGACCTCTCCAACTTAACGTTTAGGTTCAGTGTGCCTCTAACCATTCGGTGATCGCTGCCGGTTTTCACCCTCGCGATCACTGAGACATCACTGAACAGTTGTCGTCTGGTCGTCATAATGAAGTCAATCTCATTTTTTGTCGAACCGTCGGGGCTCGACCAGGTCCACTTTCTGTCGGGCCGCTTCTGGAAGAAAGAGTTCATCATAAAGAGTCCCTCTTTCTCCATAAAGTCAGCCAACTGCTGGCCCCTTGGGTTCCGTTGCCCTATTCCAAATTTCCCTACTTTCAGCTCACCGTTCTCTCTTGTGCCTAGTTTTGCATTGAAGTCTCCCATTAACACCGTATATTGGGTTTTGGAGGAATGCATGGCTCTAGAGATATCCTCATACATTTCCTCCACCTCCTGATCGGGGTGTGCCGAGGTTGGTGCGTAAACCTGTATGACCTTCAGCGAATACCGTTTGGTGATTCTGAGTATAAGGTACGCAACCCTCGTCGACACACTCAATCTTTACAACGTTGTTAACGAGAGACTTGTGGACGATAAATCCGACACCTCCTTGGGACAGATGGTCGTCCTCCCGGTAATAGAGCAAGTTGCCGGATTCGAGGATTACCGTGTCCTCCCCCTCTCTTCGGACTTCGGATAATCCTATAATATGCCAGCGTAACTTGTCTATCTCTTCTTCTAGCTCCACAATCTTCTCGTCAGTCCTCAGGGTGCGTGCGTTGTATGTTGCCAGGTCGAGTCGTCGTAGGTGGCAACCGAACCTCCACCGGAGATTCTTAGCACCCCCTGCCCCGCCGTTACCATGGTCGCCACCGTAGCCAGGAATAGCGGGGCCGCCGGGGACTGGGGGCCGTTTATTATTGTCATTGCTCATGGGGGGTATATTGTCATAGTTGCCACGCTTGGCGAGCGGGTTGGCAACCGCAGTTTTTTTATTGTTATTTTGGCTATTATCAGGAAGATGCTGCTGCCCATCTCCTGCCTGTTTCCCTTTGTCGCCTTTTACGACACCCACGGGAAGATATGGGGTAGTGGATATTCTTAACCGCCACTACACGGCTTGAGGCTTGTACATACAGATCAATAAACAAGAATAATCACTTATAAATTAATAATTATATTCTATTAATATAATTAAGCCGTGTGGAAAAACTACCATCTCATAATGTGGTTGTTATAAGAGAAGCTACTAAGGGAAAACATCTTGGATTTCTCGACTTTCGATAATTATAATCACCTTTCACTTATAATAAATATAAAATCCTCAGATCGAGTCGATAAGCAGTGTAAAAAGTGCAAGAATTTTGAAATTGCGATAGCGAGAAATTCTCCTTACTATAGGTGGGGCCCATGAGCATGCATATTTTTTAGTACTTTTCCTTTGTAATTTTAAAGAGTATACAACCAAATTAATAGGACAATCTTACCTTCTATCAATTAATTTATAGCACTCATGTAACCAGGCGAAGGTAGGCAGCCGTCTCCTTCCCGCGCTACCGTGTAGATACACTAACACATACTCATCTGTCACTAGCCGTTCCAAAGTCCAAATTACATAGCTGAAATCAAATATAGTAAATGTTTTCATCTTGTGTAAATTAAAAAAAAAATAGAGGTAAAATATTTAGTTTTCCTAATATATGGTGGTCTATATTAATAGTTCAGTTTTAGTTCAAGTAAAAAACTGTAGCTAAAGGTAGAAAAACACTACTACTACATAGAATCCAATACTGATTTGTGAAATCTAGTGATAATGATTAAACTTCAGCACTCACAGAAACAAGTTGTCCATAACGTAACGGTAGTCTGGGCGCGCGGTGTCTGGAAGATGGCAGGCACTGAACACTATTATGGCCGCGCCACTGCTTTCATAACCGCCGTGGGATAGCACACGCTTGTATGGTTCAATTACCTGTTTACAAATATAAAAGAAATCTATAAAAGTTATAACAACCTAAATGTATTTGTTTTTAAATCGTTACTTCCACACTAGGATCCTTTTCCCTCTTCCTTTTACATTGCATAGTATGTCAAGTGTCATTAAAAACGTACATTAGTTTCCAGTTTGGAAGATCTTCCTAAGAACCTTATTACAAAGAACTTGCAATGAAAATATTCCAGGTGCGAAAAACACATCATATGGAAGATGAAAATTAGTGACTTCAGCATACTATATTTCACAAATAAATGTCTGTTCAATAGTTATTCGCCGAAAACCTTTAACCATCGACTTTTTACATAACTATCTCGATGGTTAAAAACCTTTAACCATCGACTTTTTACATAACTATCTCGATGGTTAAAAACCTTTTACCATCAACTTTTTACATAACTATCTCGATGGTTAAAAACCTTTAACCATCGACTTTATTCATATATCTATTTACGATAGAAGATAAATATAACTTAACAAAAAGTGAAAGCACTCAAAGAACTAAAATGAAGTTTTTTTCCACCCTTAGAGGTTTATATGTGTACACCACTGAAAAATAACCAAACAAAATATTTCAGAAAAAAAAATATCTTCAAAACCGTGTCTTAATTGGGGAAGATATCACGTAACATACATACAAAAAAAATACATTCGAATTGTGATCCTATTTTGATGACGGAAAACATCTAAATACCTCATTGTCATTGCATGTTTTAAGTAAAAGAATTGGCTATTTTTCTTTATTTTCGGATGGAAAAGAGTTTATTTAATTTGCTAAAAGAATTCCACAGGCTGAATTATATTTTGTGCGGATACCTACTTTCATATCACAGGTCGCATTATGGCCGCTATGCTGTACAGTCAACCACGATCGTTCATCCTGCAGTTCCTCCGCAGCTGAGTACTCCGGTATGGGGTCGCTGCTTTCGCTAACCGTATTCGTTGATTTCGACCTGTAATAATTAACTATATTATCTCCTATACTAAACATTTTTTATTTTTATTTTTGTGTCAGTCTGGGTTAATCTGAATCAATTGTGATTAAACTGCATGAATATAACCTAAATCCCTCCTGGTATGTGATCTCTTGCAATAGATCTTACCCTATTCATACAAAGGCAGTGCGTATGGCGAATTCATAATAATAATGGAAATAAAAATATTTAGAAGATAAAAGTAAAAAATAGTTACAACCATATAAGTCTACAGCGTCGCTTAGCTGGCCACAGGCTTAGAGTATTTATAACAAAGCTATAGAGCGCGCGTTAGCGAGTCAGAACTGTAAGCACGGGTGTGAACAGTCTCGAAATAACAAGGACAACGTTATTAGTCACGCAGTAAATATTCCCCTCGACAGTACTTATTTGAATTTTAGTTATTCCAAGCTGCAAAAACGATTCACGGAAGCAAACTGAGAAGAACAATGCGATATGCATATGCGCCGCCGGATGGTGGACGAATTGGCGGACTTCATATGTACACGAAATTGTTTTTCCTTGACACATAGGTTTCCTCACGATATTTTCTTTCACCGGCAAACACGCAATAAAAATCATAATTTCATTGATGCTGGCGGGGATCAAACCTGGGTTGCCGGCGTAATGTGATATTTACGGTGAGCCTTAACCACGGTTAAGTATTGGGTAGTTCATCATAAATTATAACATCATACAATTTAAATTTGCTTCTTTTAACATAATACATACATACATATAGATAAACTCATGCCTCTTACCCAGAGGGGTAGGCAGAGACTACAGACTCCCATTTGGCACGATCCTAACATATCTCTCTAGTTTCTTTCATATCCAACAATCTACTCATACATGCTCATTGGTTAAGGGTACTCTTAACTTGGCTCATCTTAAATATTTCACCAATTTGATTACTTAACTTTCATCTAGGAGTCTTTGGCGTGCCTTACAAACTCTGCCGCTCACTTTTGCAGCATAAATTTGCTTTGTCACTCTATTCTCATTCACTCTTTCTACATGTCCACACCACCAAAATATTCCTTTTTCTTCAACATCTTGCAAACCCCACTTTTCTTTTATCACATAGTTTCTCACCCAGTTAATCAGAGTCAGTCTTAAGATAATTCTTAACACCCACATTTCTAGTTGTAGTTTTAGTCTCACGCTTCTTCTGCCACCTCCCAACTTTCACTACTATACATTACGGTAGGGACTAACAACTCTAACCTGTAACAGTGTCTCATTGTACGATTGTAAAAAGAAGGAGGTTACGACTGTATGTTTTATTTTTGTAATATTTTTTGTAACTGATTTGGATCATATTTTTTTATCTAAATCATAGCATATTTTTCTATACAATAAATCTAAGCACCAACTTCAGAATGTGAAATAATTTTCTCTTTTAGCTGAAGCTCAGGTTTAATTTTTTATTTATAAGTTATTTTTTAGTATTTAAAAATTAATAAGACGGAGCAAGAAAAGTATCTAGGTCTTATTCTAGATAGTAAGTTACCTTGGCACCCCCACATTCTAAAAATAAAATCTAAGTTGATATCTCTAACGGGTATGATAAAGGGTATTGCTCGCTGTCTTTCAGTCCCTGTACGGTATACAATTTATAATTCCATTGTGAAACCACAAATCGATTATCTAGTAGAAATATGGGGTAATGCAGCCAAAACTAATCTAGCAATACTACAAACTGCTCAAAATAAATTATTGAAAGTTTTGTTTCATTTTGATTACTTTACACCGACAGATAAGCTTTACAGACAAATTAAAGTAATGAACATATCGCAAACATACAAGTACCAAAATTGTATATTAGTACGAAAATTTTTAAATAAAGATATACACACAAACACAACTTTTTCAAAGAGAATACAACTACACAAAATGAAACTTAGGCGAAGCAACGTTATTAAATTATTAACACCACGAACAAATTTCGGTAAAAAATGCATAATGTATGAAGGTTCACAAATATATAACAAAAAAGATATTAGAGACTCAAAATCAATGCACACATTTAAAAAACTACTTAAGTATCATCTATCGAAAGACTAAACAAAGACCTATCTAAATAAATAAATACTCTCATGTTCAATAACTAACATAAATAAATACATATCTAGATTATTTCCTTCTTACACTCTAAAAATACCAATTATTTAAGTTATTCAGAAATAATAAATAATATAAATATTACAAATTTTACTAAATATTTAAATTATTATAACCGACACTTAATCAGATTTTTTTTTCTCTCCAAATTATTGAATCTAATCAACTGTATCACTCTACTGTGCGAGTCACATCCAGTAATGCTTATGTATGTAATCAGCACAAAGAAGTCGGCGGTCAAATTTGCACAAAACGAGCCATCGCTGTCGCTAGAAACTTTTTACAACCACCTAATTTTGTATTTTTCGGTAGTTTAAATTATAATTTGCATTGTTACATTGTATGAATAGCTCAAACTAAATTTATATTAAGCCATAGATATATAAGTCTCAAAAAGTGAATGTAAAATTATTTGAGATAATAAAGTTCTTCTTAAACCGTAAACCTAAAAAATATTCAATTATATTGATTTTAGTTAGTTCACGATTTTCGTACTATTTCCTTTCAATTGCCGGTTGAAGTCAGATAAGGAATAATGTTTCACTTTTCTTCTGATTCAGACCAATTTGTTCTACTGGACCTAAAGAAATTACACTTTAATAATACATTGTACTAATCTTAATCGAGCGGCGAGAAATTATGATCGCGGAAGCAAATGCCCCTCCGCCTTAAGCCCCGAATAATCAACTCGCGCGCGCTACACTATATTATCATTCAATGTACATAGAAATGTTTGTTTCGACAAATTTAAAAAGTATTTTTATAAAAGTATTTTAATTTTCTATAGATAGAACTCGATTAATCATTCCTCTGCCATATTCAAGTAATTATAATAATTATTTCAAAACCTTCCTCACAATATGTTGATGCATCATTGTGCAGTTGTTGGGAGATTACGACAAAAGCTTAAGCCAGCTGTCAATCGATGACTGTACAAGCAAAATAATTTGAAGTCAAATTCAGAGCATTTGTTTTGTTGTTTCCATTAGTGGAAACAACAAAACAAATGCTCTGAATTCAAAAATTACATTTACGTAATAAAATCCAGTTCAAAACATAATTGAAATACTAAAATAGATGTAACTATCTGTTTACAAAACTCCAAGATACCAAATTCAATAAAAAGATCCTTATTTATGGATGCAAATAATAATTTAATATAATAAAATCTACTTTTTTATAATTTTTAATATAATTAATTAACAAATGTACCTCTTATCATCCTCCGCCTCACTATCAGGCTGTGCTTGATCCTCAGACACAGGTTCTGGTTCTGGTGGTTCATCTTCGGAATCTAATGAGCCTCCACTCACACTATCCAGACTGCAGCGGTCATATTCTGGGGGCTAGAAGCAGAAAATTTAAGAAATAATTGCACAAATTGTTAGATTGCCCATCTGGACACGAAAGAATAAAATACGAGTGTATTCTCGGTCACATAGAATAGTCGGGGTAAACTTAAACCGATTTTGAATCAACCTCAGACGCAACTACCACTTACACCAATGGGAATTGAAGGACTCTCCCGTGTGTGAGTGTGGTGCTGAGCGACTTAACTACATAGCCATACATCAATTAAAAACCATTCACATGCACTTGACTATAGAGTAGTTGTTGCTTGAAGACAAAACTTATTGCTTCAGTTTTTTTTTTTGAATTTAATAAAGTTTAATATATACAATATTATTTATTATAATTTTATTAGTAATTCTTATTAGAAACTATAATAATAAAAAAAAACAAGGTGCCAAATCAAGACCGTAAGGAGGGTGAATCAAAAGCTTAACCAGTGTCCTATCCAGCAAGTCCCTCATTTTGAATGCAGTGTGCGCGGGCGCGTTGCCATGGTGAAGCAGTAGACAGCGGAGCGTCTTAGAAGTGACTTGTTATGGAAGCAGTAGACGTGTTCTAACACGTTAAAAGTGGTAAATGTTAAGTGATAACAATTTCATTACATGTTTCACTATTTTCTTGACCTCAATGAATGCAGTTCCCTAAATGCAGTGGTTTTCTACTGGAATATTCAAATACACTTAGGTCTGTTATAGTTTTTAAACTAGAAATTATAAAAGAGTGCTAAAGTATGGTAAAAAAATTATAGCAATTAACTTACCACATGAATTTTCCTTCGTTGAGGTCCTGGACTTTTTGGAGTTCTATGGCATAGTGCCACACAGCCCGTATAAGGATCTAACAATGCTTGGTATGCAGATTTATCTTCTTGAGTGGATGAGGATACTACATCTGGAGTATCTAAATCCTGAAATTGAAATTTTTACAGAGCTTTAATATATTATTACAAGTAAGAAACTGAAAATTTTACTTTAAAGTCCACAGTTTAACATAGTCTTCTCTTAAAATTTTATAAGAGAATATATGCCACACCTTAAACACTACCCTCAATCCAGTGTGTTTAGAAATTTTAAGATGATTATTGAATTGTTATGAGAAATGTCACTTCTCTTCAAAGAGCAAAGGCATGTAGAAGTAAAAAGGGGTTCCGTCTGCTGAGAAATAGGTTTAGATTTAGCAACCAAAATGATGATAATTGATGTCAGAGAATCAACAATGGTAAGGTCTCAAAAACAGTAACCTAGTCTAGTACCATTGTTTTTTTTTTTTTAATACAATTGAAGGAAAGTGGCTACTGCAATCCATGGACACCTACAGACTCGTTGTCACCTCTGAGGTAGAAATTGGTGGATGGTACCTAACCACATGGACATCTCAACAGAAACGGAGAGAACAAAAAATTTAATCGTTATCATCAGGCTTGTTTGAATGATCATGAACATGCCTGATGATTGTTGATAATAATAGCAAATATATTTCAAATATAATAGGTAAAATTGATAATTTCAATAATATTAGCTTAATTTGAGAAGTGACTCGGTGTGAAACATATAATATGTATGTAATGTTGTTGTTCTATTTATGAGGGTCTGACGGTGTAATTAAAAGATCTTGGTGAAAATCAGTAATCGTTAAGCCAAGGGTTCGTCTAGTGAAACTTAATACCCAACCAGTTTTTTAGCGTCATTCGAGTTTGGGAGTTGTCATTAAACCACTACTAATTAAAGACCACTCCTACCACCTATTGTCATACAACACCGCCAGCAGATTTTTGTCACTTGAGTCATTTGACTTCCTATGTTTCACAAATTTGGCACTTTATCTAATATATATATTTTATATAGGCCAATACTGTATTTACTGGTTAGAGGCTATGACTCAAGACCTTTTACATTGAAAAAGTTTTCAATAATTTTGCTTATTGTTTTAGCTCAATTTACAAATCCTATAAATACCAAAGCCAAAGTTTCAGTTGAAATAATACAAAAAATATCAAATAAAACAAATTCATGAATATTATACTTACATTCTGAATCCCTATAGTACTTGACATTTCAATAGGGAGTTCAAAATTTGGTATGGAACGTAAATGTGATGGGGATTCACACCACTCTGCAACCTAAAATATAAATATTATCTACATCAGTTAATCTATTTTAATGTTTATGCACAAATTAGTACATATGATGGACTTAATACCTTAATACTTTGTACCTAAGGAAGGGATTCATGGTTTAGTAATTATTTAAACTAGTGACCCACCCTAGCTTTGCTCGGGTAGGATCTATTAATGATTCTATCAATTTTTTGTTAATTTAAAAAAAAATCTTAGTTATAGATAAAATACAGCCTAGATCTATCCTGGCATTGCTCTGTATTGTTTACTGAAGTTTTATTACAAACTGTTCAGCCATTCCGAAAGTTAGCTCTGACAGACAGGGAGAAATTTTAAAAATGGTTATTCATGCCCCAAGTTAAAATTTGCATTCATTCATGGCTTTAAAAGAAGAAGTTTATTAAAAACTTTGGTAAATCAAGAAAATCAAAAAGAAGTAATTTGTGATAAATCATACCCCAGAATGAAATTCTTCAGGTTCTGTTATATTTATAGCATCAGTATTATTTTTAGGTGTACTCTGACTAGATATTTTTTTAGTCCTTTCTTCAATATAATTTATTATGGCACTATCATCTCTTTCTCCATCTGGCACTTGATTTTGATTATTTTTGGGTGTTAATAATGCTTTCTTTGGTGTCTCAATAAACCTGGGAACTATCTTTCGCCTTTCTTTCTGATTTATTTGCTCAACTCTTGCAATATCTGGTGGAACTACATTTAAAGATTCACTAAGAAGTTGACTATCACCTGTCACAAAGTTTTCTGAGAAATAAAGATTATTTTTTGATGTATTTAGCTGAGGACTGTAGAATTCATATCCATTAGTGTGGTTGACATTTCTTTCATCTTCTATACTAGACAAACTTAAGTCCTTTTCATCTTCAGCTTTATGTAATTTCTTTGGTATTAAATCTGGAAAGTTCTCATCTGGACTTCCCAAGCCCATTAGTGGATGGTTAGTGGTAAGTGTTAGTGTAGAACTCAATTTGGGTGGGCTTATTCCAAGGTGCTTTGGCCTAGGATTGTCTGGTGTTGTTTTAAGGGTCAAATTAGACATTTTTGACACTAAACTATCATTGAATTCTTCTTTTAACTTGATAACTTTTGTATTGATACATTTTTCTGGTTCCGATAGCCTTAAGACTGAGTTGTTTTCAACATGGTCTTCAAAATCAGATGAAAGGACGGAGTTTGGAGTATCCTGTGTTGATTGGAATGATTCTGAGCCTGTGTCCATCTTTTCATCAGATGATTGAGAGCTAAGAATATCTTCCTCACATATCCGCGGAGAATAAAAATTACTGAAATTAGAAACAATTATAACCTTTTCAAAATAAAGCTAATTTTTTTAAAACAAAAACAACTGTTTATTTTTACTTCTACTGGTTTTAATAATTTTTAATTTAATTTAATAGTTTAAAATAATGTCAAAAAGAATTAAACATTCTCTCTGAAATAAAACTTGATAATAACATGATACTGATAAGAAACAATTGGATTTTTTTTATACTGGTCTTATCAATTTTTAACCGACTTCAAAAAGGAGGAGGTACTCAATTTAACTGTTTTTTTTAATGTGTGTTACCTTATAACTTTTTTCTCGGTGAACCAATTTTGATGATTCTTTTTTATTTGAAAGCTAGTGCTTCTCATGTTGTCCCGTATAAATTTGATCAAGTTCTGACCAATAGTTTTTGAGTTAATGATTTATATTGAAGTCGATTGTATAAAATTTTTAACTTTAAATTATAGATGATTGAATTTAACAATAAAAATATACTATTTTACAACTTATTTGCATGATTCACAACAAATTACACAATTGATTAATATGAATGTTTATTTCTTGTTTTTGTAACCTTCACCTTTCATTATTTATACATTTCAAATTTGTGCTAAGAGACAATCCAAGTAAATTTAAAATTAAGATTAGCTTAATCAAATTCAATATTATACCCATGAATATGTAGTCAATAACCCTTTATTATGAGTTTTATTGTTGTGTCACATTTGAAGATATTCCGAACTATATTTAAAGATATTACTCAATCACACACTTGATTCCTCAAGCATAAATTCATCATCAATGGCTGAGAATATCCGCTGCACAAACTCATTCATTAGATGTTGTATGGATGAAGCAACAGAGGAAAACTGAAACTGGAGGCAGATCCTTTGCAGCTGTGCAACGTGAAGATACTGCTTTCCGTGATAACAGCTTGGTTAAAAACAGAGAGTGCCAATCCACCAGGCAAGTTTGGTAAGTATGGAAAGTAAACCACCAAACCTATGAGAATAAGGTTTAGCGGTGGAGTTTTAATAGACTGTAAATAATGATGATGATGAAATGATAGAAGGCGGGGCCTTATTTTATTCTCGGTTACTTTATTATAATTGATTTGCTCTCCGACATTTTGAAAACAAATCTAATAGGGGGTGGAAGAAAAATATTAAATTCACATTATGTTCACAGAGAATGTACCTACTGTGCTACTAAGCATAAATCGTACATTTAAAATACCATTTGTAAAGATAAATAATACTAACTAATTTTTAAATATAAATGCTCACTACTCACGGACATAATAGAAATATTTATTTCGGGTCCGTGTACCTACTAAGTATAGATAATTTTCTAATATATAAATTGTACACCTGTACAAAACTTACTTCATTTGTATTCCTGTAGTTTTAATCCCTATATTTTACTTATTTATAAATTATTTACAGTGAAATCAGCATTTGCTAACTTTAATTACAAACGTACCATAAATTAAAAGATAATTAGATTATTAGATAAGTAGCAATCTACCCAATGTTACCAACTCCAAAAAATATTTACCCCTTAAGGTTAAGTCAAAAACCCCTTAAAAAACAACTTATTTACTTGTAACTCCCCTAAAAATAAGTACAATGCTTTATCCCTTTCGCACCTGAGATATTTGTTCCTTTGATTTGAAATGAAAACTATAATATTTTGGCAAAGAAGTGGTAATATTAATGTAAAAAATAGTAAAAAAAATCCAGCGTACACCAGAACTCTGGAAAGTCGATAGCACGATAGTGAGCTCTAGGGCTGACTTCTACCAACTCCCGATCGTGCGTTTTTAAGTTTTGATGAGATTTTAATGCATTGATGGTGTCAGCTTACTTCAAAAAATATTTATAATGAAATAAAACGCATCTGGTTATTAGAAAAGACTTATTTAATTATTGCCAACATTACAGTTTAGGTACAAAATTTCAGTCTTTTGTTTTCATTGTAATAAAAATGCTCTTTCAGCAGACAACTTAGAAATTAAAAGAAAGGAAACAAAAATATTTTTACGAAATAAACAATGAGATAAAGTCATGCTTCTTAGGAAACAAAAACTTAACACAAAAACATAGAAATCAACTCAAAAGCCTTTCTGGCTGTACAAAAATAACATAAAACTTAATACTTAGATAATCTTTTGAAATATCTTTCTAAATCACAGTCTTTACATAGGAAACGTTATCAAATAAGACTAGTTTCTTTGGTGATACAAAAAAAAGCAGTCTTTATCACGACTCAAGCATAAGTAAATATCACATTTACGGCACCTAATTTTAGAGCGAGATGAAAAAATCTCTAAGCGACATTTGCGAGGAGCCTTCAAGTCGTCAAAAATAGGAAAATGTTCGTAACCATCAAACCTCTTTCCCACAGACGGATGATTAGCGGGTTTGTATCTGCCCGAAGTTTGTGCCTGCGTTTCAAGTAATGGGGATGAATCGCGCCGATCTCTGTCAGGAGTGCAGATGTGTGTCTCAGCAACTTCAAATCTGAATGAAAGGAGATCTAATATTCGATTTTTAGGAATGCCTTTAGCCAATGAGTCAGATTTGTAGAGCCGCCACGAATTTACCATTGCTAGGTCTATAAAGTGTAGTATGACCTTGAGAGTCCATTTACGGGTCTTCATGAATGTACGGTAATATTCCATAGATTGGTCCAAAACATCCACCCCGCCCATGAAAGAGTTGTAGGATGTTACAATTTTTGGAGCACCAACATCGACGTAGCATTTTTCTGTTTTATTGTACCGCTTTACTATGTCGGTTGCCGTGCCCCCAGTACAATTTGATGCTGTCAATACCGCCTTGCTGTCCTTCCATTTTACCAAAACTACGTCGTTTGATACCCTTTGTTCAATTTCTCCTCGTGTCATTTTTTTGTCATCTTTGAACTTAAGCTGCTGTCGATCTGGTACCCGGTTAAGCATAATTGTCCTTGTGCCATGATAGTCCATTTTCGTTAATTCTTCCAACAGGGGAACCGTTGTAAAATATCGGTCAAAAAAAATGCAGCTCCCGCGTGGAACACTTTGACTCAAGCGAAGAACTACAGCCGGTCCAAGCCCCAAAGGATGCGAAGGAACGGGATTATTGCCATAGTATATTTCAAAATCCACCATTAGCCCTTCACTAGTAGTAACCACGAAATTCTTAAGACCCACTGGGCGAGGCTTGTTCTTTACAAGCTGGCGAAGATGACACTTGCCAGTGAAAGGTATCATTTGTTCGTCGATCGAATACCTGCCCGGGGTCCTTAGAATTTTGTTGCAGCCTTCTCTCACAATGTAGATCATCGGCTGAACCTTCCAGAGAGGATTATTTGCTTCCGAAACGGGTGGAGAGTCGGAATCCACGACGTGCAAACTGTTTCTTAAAGTTGTCAGTCTATCTCTTGTCATTGCAGAAACAATCATGTCAACTTTAATATTTCTTCGCCAGTACATTGCGATCCTGGGATATGATAGTATACCCATCAGTAGATGGATACCAATCAGTTTTTTTATTTCCGGTTTGGTTGTATTTAAGACTCGCCCAGTTTTTCTTAAATAGTATAAGTTTGTACACAATGCCATGCGCTCGTAAAAATTATCATTATAATAATCATTATAATATTCAACCGGCGATCTTATTTCATTTGGTTGTGGATGACCTGAGTAGTTATGTGATTTATCGATGTAATCAGTTTTCTTCCATAACCTTTTACGAGCAGGCAATTTCACTATAACAGCCTTTGATTTTTGTGTTACTTTTGAACAAGGTGTTTGTTTTGACTTTTTAGAACAAGATGGGCCTGCTTCACTCTCATTCATGTTATCAGATGTAGACTTCCTTTTAGACACTTTACCTTTAATATTTTCCGATTTCACAGCTGCCGCAGATAAGCGAGGCGGAGAGGATAGCTCAACTTCACCTTCTTCATCATTTTCCAGCTGCAGAGGAATAAACTCTTCATCGTCGTCGTCGAAGTCCAACTCGGAACAGTTACCATCATTGAGGATGCCCAAGACGAGGTCATTGTTCAATGGCATGCCTGTAGTTAAAGAAATAAATCGAAAAATAACTTAAAAATGAATGAACTCACGATCATGCGTTGGTACAATTGCAACAGATATCACGACAGTGAGCTGACAATTTTGTCGTAAATTAAGTTGGTAATTACTAAAAATATAGAAGAAAGTTATAGTCATTCAGATGAATCATATACTTAATGATGTAATACAATCATAATATCAATGATTTCTTACGAAATTTGCAAAAAAAATAAATATAACTTACGGCGTCCAGTGACGGGGTCAAGAAACGCAGCCATCTTGTCGGTGGGCTCGCGGGTACTGATCGCGCTAGACGCCAAAACCGTTTCCTATTGGATAGATTGATGAGCGCACGACCATGCGATGTCGGTTTAACGCGGAGAAACGGATTTGGCGCGAACTTATAATTTTTCAAAGAAGAAACTCACGATCGTTTCATTCGGGTGCGAAAGGGTTATAATATTCTTTATATATAAGTTATTTAATATTTAAAATATTTTTTTCATTATCTTCTAATGGTACCGATACATCAAATTCATACTTTTGGATATTAAATAAACATACATTTTAGTTAATGGAATAAATTTGCTATTTCGTTGCAATATAACTCAGATCATCATCACACTTGGTAGCAATTCCAAAGGTAACATGAAATTGCAACCATGATAGTTAATGCATAAGAATTTTGAGACATTTTTAAAAGGTTTTCAATCATCGTAAACTTCTAAACAAAAATCAACTTAAGTGGAAAAAAATATAAAGCCCCTAAAACATCATATCCCACATATTTACCCCGTAAACTTAGGAGGGAAATCCCTAAATTGGGAACCCTGAGCTATCCAATAGCCAATACCCAGGAGTTTTGGCGGGAAATTGACCGGCGGCGGTTTGCTGCTCCTGTATTATAGTTTAAATAATAGTTTGAAGTGGATTTTGATATGTAAAAGTGGTGCGATTTTATGTATTAACTGTCTACGCATGTGAACTATTAGTGGAAACGGTGAAACAAGTGCTCTGATGGTGATGGATTCTCAAGATAAGCTGTTTGTCTGCATAGGCGCCTTTAGATACCATCGCCAACTGTCAGCTGTCTGCTGGCTCAAGTTGCCGTCAAAATCTCCCAAGGGCTGCACAATGTGACGCATCAACATATTGTGAAGCTGTGAACTATGAAAGATAATTATACATTTGGGAAATTATAATAAACCGAATAAAAATACTCAAGACTTGGCCTAAAGGTCTAGATACCAGGCCATAAACTCCAAAAAACAATAGCCAATACCCAGTGTCGCCAATAACTGAACTAGCTCTCCAGTATCCACCAGATTCAACTTCTAAAACACAAACTATATAGAAACACCTTCTAAAATCACCAGAAAGCCACTAATAAGCAACCCAACACACATAATCCCTAAATTTTCCACTTAAGGTGAAAGTTCCAGGGTGGCCCGTGAAATTCAAATTTTCTTACTAAAAATTGAATTTCGCGGGCCACTCTGGAGTTTTCACTTTAACAAAATTTTGTTTATTACGAAAGAAAAAATATTCGTAATTGGTTAACTTAATTATTACAGACTGTGTAACAAATCATTACATTTTTATGTTGATTATTTACAAAATAAATCAGCATCTACTAGTAAACCAACAAGTCAACGTGAAGAATATATTATTTAATAAACGGCTATTTTAAATTCAGTCGTCTTCTTCAGTTGAATCATTTTTGTCGGCACCATCATCATAGGTTTCCAATATCATGCTTATTGTACAATAAAATTTTAATTTCGCTACTTGATGAGTAGTTCTTTCAATCACTTGGAAACTGGAACATATCACTTAAATGTGGGTCTTCAAGCTAAGAATTCCGAATCTTTTGTATATATTGTCGTTTCGACATAGTGAATGATGTAGAATTCGTGAAGGAATACGACATTGAGTTTAGTAAGCTACTATATAAAATATTCTACGAGGAATCCTAGTGAATAGTGTCTCATCACTCACTGATTTATCATGTCTGATGAATCAGTGCTGCATACACAGTAAAAGTAAATTATCCTAAGTGTAAGTGGCTTAAAGGGTGAGTGACCATGTTTCCACTAATTGAAACTCAATTTACTGAAACACTAGAAAAAAACACGAGCCACTAAAATCAAAATTGTTTCACTGAAATGGTGGTCTAAACCACCAGTTTGTGTAAAATCCAAAATGTTGGCAATAATGTCAATACCAAATACCAAAAACAAAATATCACAAACTATCTGGAGGATACTATTGATACTGTATAAACTAGGAGTGGGCTTTAACAATTAATATCACATATCTGTTCCACCTGTTCCAGCGCCACATAATTAACAGTTCCAAAATAACAGTGTTGAACATATGTGAGAAAAGGACAGATTTTGTGACAACTGTAACAGGGTGTTAGTGTAACAGTAACATAATTTGTCATATTCTAGTAATGGTAACTTTCATATGTATGAATAAAGAAAAACTTGTTACTGTCTTTTAGTGGATTTGTTATCTCGTGAAACAGGAGTAGATCTTTCAGTTTGCTTGTCACAGTTAAATCTTCTATTTTAAGATACTACTATTGGGTATTTCTCTTACTAACTAAGGTGTTGCACCTATGCGGGAAAAGGAAAGAGCTTGTGACGAGTTATACGGTGTCACCGTAACATTTTTTATCTTATTCTAATAAAGGTAACTATCATATGCATGAGTAAAGAAAAACTTGTGACTGTCTTTTAGTGGATTTGTTATGTCGTGGAACGTTCTTTTAGTTTATTTGTCACAGTTACAGTCTGCTATTTTAAAATACCTGTTTTTTTTATCTGTTACGATAAATATGCCTCACTCTTAGAATAAACATTGTTTCATAAATTCGTACTAATGTTTTACTTTTTACTTTATAATCGACCTACCTAATATTTTCAAAATACTTCCATAATTAAATTAATAACTTAAGTACAAAAACGCATAGGCATCCATGATAATTATAAAGTAAAACATAGGTACAAATTTATAAAACGAAGTTTATTAATCAAACACAAAAAACTAATGTACTGTCTCTTGAAAAGTAACCCGTATTACATAATTGCGGTTTTGAGTAGTTTTACGTTAAGTATATTTCAATTTAATGTCAAAATATTGTTTATGACATCCATTAGATTTTTTTAATCGTGAACATTTACACGTATTCGACATTTCCTTACATAAATAACTGCCAAAGCTAGTGCGAACTTTAATCTTTTTAAAATATGTGTAATCTTGCTTCAAATTTAGGCACAGGTATTGCACTAACCAGCTTACGTAGTCCACCCTTGCTTTCAAAAAGTGCTCACTCTTCTTTCGAAACGCACTAAAGTTAAAAATTCAATTTTTAAAGTGCTAATTGAAAATTCGAGCCAACTACCAGGCGAACAGAAAATAAAGAGTGTTCAACAAATGTGCATTAGTGACGCTGATAGCAAAGGTCCAACATAAGTTGATATGTACACAAAGCTAGCCTACTTGTGAAGAGGGATCAAGATAAAGTGGTAAATATTCAATTCAGTTACTGTTGCAACCACATAAACTTTAAACTAAAGTAACTTGATATAAAATGTCTAAGCTTGTAAGATCACCCCCTGGACGTAGCATGCAACATACATTATCGGATTCTGATGTATCCAGTATAGTTCCGACTCCTGCTATACCGTCTTACATTCTAAACGAAACAAAAGACAACGCGAGTCAAGCGACGAACAATTATCTTCGTTTAAAGATGAAATTCGAAATATGTTGGATGAATGGAAAAATACACAAATCTCTCTCATAAACAAACTTGTCTCGGATATTGCAGAAATAAAACAGCAAAATATACAGATTCAGCGCTCAAATAAATAAATTGAAAAAGCTCTTGATTTCCTTAATAATATGTATAAAGATATGAAGAAGAAGGTTGAAAATAAAGAAAAGCAACATCTACTTCAGATAGCCTCACTTGAAGCGCAAATAGAAGATATGCATAGAGCTTCAAAGTCATGTACCTACTATAGAAATAAGGAATGTACCTATACCTGCACAATCGGAAACTAAAGCTGACTTGTGTAATATTGTCCAACAAACATGTAAGGTTCTTAATGTAAATGTTCAGGAACCTACTATTAAGGATGTGTTTCGATTGAATAGTACAACGGGAAAAACCACAATCGTCATTGAATTCACATCGGTTATAGTGAAGAACAGTGTCATCCAGGGAGCAAAAACGTTCAATAAACAACATCCTGATCAGCGTCTCAATAGTGCTATTATAGGATTCAAAGAACAAGTAAGACCAATTTATGTATCTGAAGCTTTAACAAACAAAGGGCGAAGATTATTTTTCTTAGCAAGAAGCTACGCAAAAACTGAAGGCTACAAATTTTGTTGGACTAGCCATGGAAAAGTATATCTTCGTAAAACGGCTGAGTCACCTCATATTGAAGTCAAGGATGAGACTCAACTACTAGATCTGAAGAAACAGAACTGACTAGGCAAACCTCTAAATTCTTTATATTTACTTAATTTTTACTCTTTTTACGGTTATGTTACATTATATAAATATATCATGTGTTCCTTTGTTGTCTATATTTACGTTATATTTCATTTTGGAATATTACACAGGTATACTCTCATTGCTATTAAAACCAAAACACAAACCATTTGCATCGGTTGTAATCGGATCAAAACTTGCAAAGTCAGGTTAGTTAAAAATAAGACATCACTTTTTTTCTCTTCTTCTTACATAAAGACTATGCTAACTATGTCCCAAGTGCCTTTAAGTTACATACGATCAACATTAGAGCGGGTGCGTCTTTCTTGTGTAGTCCAGAATCTTGCAACTCTCTTTTAAAATCGCAACTAGCAACGAACTATAATTTATTAATACTAACGCTAAATATCAGAAGCATCTCCAAAAATTTTACTGAATTTGAAATACTACTAACAAGACTAGATATAGCATGTGACATTTATATATTAACTGAAACTTGGAATTCTAAAAGCGTACATTTTCCGTCTCTTAAAAACTACAATACTCACTTTACAAAAAATAACAAAAATCAAAACGATGGTATCGTAGCGTACACTAAACAAAGTTATTGCTGTACTGTTGAAGAAAAATTCTTAAATGATGCCACCTGTTTAGCTGTTGAATTTAACAAGGACACGGTTGTGATAGGCATCTATAGATGTCCATCAAATAAAAACATCGATAATTTTATAATCTCATTAAATAAATTACTTACAATTTACGCGAATT